TAAGTTCATGCAAGACAGCAAAGCTGTTTCAGTCGACTTGCCAGAGCAGAAGCCATGCTGTGAGAGCGGAATGATATTATATTGAGTGTTAAGTTAAGAGTTAAGTGTTCCAATAAGTATTTCTTTATAACTTTCTCGAAAGTCCGAGCAAAAATTGACGTCAAGCTAATCGGTCTGTAATCATTAGGGCACGGAAATGGCTCTTTCTTCGGAAGGGCAAACATAATGGGATGTTTCCATTTACAGGGGACTTCCCCTCTCATGAGACTTAAGTTAAATAGGAACTCCAGAGGTATTGTGGTGACTAGAGGTCAAATAGTCATCAAATATCAATCGGCGTAAGAGATGGGCTACTTCACTCATTTCACAGGATTTCCAAAGATTTAGGGCCGATACAGCGCATGAGAAGAGGTTGCTAGAACTATATCATCCCCATAACCATTCACGATTCGAGCCAGTTCTTACGCTCTTCAACCTTTACATTTCTGCGCCAGCTTCGGTTAGGGAACCTCATACCTCGAGAATCCATTACATACGCAGCCTTGCCCAATGCATATGCACCCAACACTGCAATCCTCACTGGCTGACGCTTCACCTCTCCTGATATTCACTCCTCGTCACTAACATAAATGTCCTTTTAATAAGTATACTTCTGCCCAAATCGGACGCATGGAAGCATCTCAGTTCACTGCAGCGTCTATTTCACCAGTGATATCCACATACTTCTTGCCCAACCACATGCTTTTTTCCTTCATGCACTGAACCTTCTCACTTTTGCTATCAACACACATCTTCAACTTTCGAATTTCACTCATTATGAAGGAAGTGGATAGCATAGTAAGCTTCGAGCCCAAGACTCTTCCAGGCAAAGGTCCGCATATCCCTTTCTAAGGAAGGGTTCGATAAAGAATGAGGAGCAAAACGACTAGAAGTTGCGCTATTAGAACTACTTAATACTGGCTGATACTTGACAACACTCAATATAGGGTCAAGTTTGAGAGCTAAGAAAAAACTGAAAAGTGAATAAGTTAAGACTACAGCATAACCACCTCCCTCGCCTGAAATAGTCAGATGTGCGAAGAATAAGATGTTATAGCCATGAAATACAATAATACATAAGACAGTTGAAAAACTCATACTAGTTGCTGACAGAAATAATTCCCAGCATCATGAAGCAACATGCTCACGATAACTAGTGCAAATCTAGAAAGAAGACCCTGCTTATTCATCAACCCATCTCCTTCACAGCGTCGACTACAGCAATATAAATGAAATGGTAGTTGGTTGCAGCAGTAGAATAAAGTCAGAGCAATACTTGACGACTTCGGCAGCAGAAATCAGGGGAATAAGCGCTCAGTCGAATCATGTAGTGAATAGCGGGTAATCATTTACATGACTATCGGCGCCCCAACGCAATCTAGAGATAGATTCATCCCCCGCCCTGGGTGGGGGGGCCTGCCTTCCCAGGGTGGGGATGAATGGGGGTCGCGCTTCTCTAAGCTCTCGCTAAGGTAAGGTCGCAGAGGTAAACTCGAGAGCTGTCGCTTCTTCACATGTTTATAGGAGAAAGCTTCGCTCCATTGCAACTATCCTGACACAGAACAAAGGCAATAACACCATTTGACCGTTCGCACCCTTCGCAAACATTCTCTGGGGAGACTCTCCCCTTGCCTACCCTAGGAGTTATGCACACAGCCTAGAAAGAACAGAAAAAAAGTTACGCAACCGCGTCAGGTGGCAGAAGAGTGTCTTTGATGCCCTCCGCTCTGTGGGCCGTATGCAGAACGCACAGTGTGGGGAAGGGGAGAATCACCCGAGGGGATGTTTACGAAGGGCGCGAACGTTCAAATGGGGTTTTCGCCTTTGTTTTGTGTGATAGTGACAATGGAGCAAAGTTCTCAATGAACAGGTGGACGATCGACAGTCTCCGACAATCATCTGACGTTCATCTCTGCGATCTTACCTTAGCGAGAGCTCAGAGAAGCGCGACTCCCATTCATCCCCACCCTGGGAAGAGAGGCCTCCCTACCCAGGGTGGGGGATGAATCCACCCTGAAATTGAGATGGAGCCGACGTCTACGTCTGAGCGCTTATCTCTCTGATCTCTGTTCCCGAATTCGTTTAGTATCGCTCTAATTTTATTCTACTGCTCCAACCAGCTACCAACTTATTTACAGTGCGTGGTCGACGCTGCGAAGGAGTTGAGTTGGCCAATAACAAGGTTCTTCTTTCTAGATTTACACCAGTTGTCGTGAGCATGTTGCATCATGATCCTGATGTGATTTAACACTTTGGAGCCCGCGCAGGTTTCGGCAACTGAGACCGCGAGGGACCACAGCGCTCGCTTTAACGCAGCGACTGCATATTGGGCTGCACGGGCTCTCATGGCATGTTTCTTAAGAAGCGGGCCATTTCAGCGGATTTTTCGAAAATACTCACTCCTGTGGCGACTACGTCAGGAGATTGATCAGTCAGGCTACACCTGTCCCTAACGATTATGAATACGTCACAAGAACGTTTTGAAGAACAGTTTCATCAACAGCTGACCGAAAGCGAAGGACATCAGGATGAGACCGCAGATGAGTCGGAACTACAAGACGAGGATCCTGACTATGAAAGTGAATCGGAATCTGGTGATGAACCTGAAATGTCCTGGTCAACAACTTCATCAACTCAAGACCGATGGATTTTCACAGGAGAACATGGACCAGCCGCCGTTTTAGTTGCAGCCATCCTGTCGACTTCTACAATCTGTTTCTTGACGCTGAAATGATGGCGCTCATTGTCATGAAAGAACAGTATGGCCAGCGAAGAGCGGAGATATTTGGATCGGACTTGCAAGATACGACAGAGCAGGAAATGAGGAAATTCCTCGGTTGCCTTCAAATGGGAATCCTCAGACTATTACGACTGCACGATTACTGGAGCCAGCGGCCAGCTCTAGTTGGCCATTCGCATGTCGGTCATGTTATAGTTAAGTGAAGGTTCGAAGAGCTTCTTCGTTCCCTCCACGTTGCCAACAACGACGAATTCGACGGGGACAAGGTGCACGAAATTCGGAAATATCTAATCCTCTTCAATGCTACAACTATGAGCGCTTTTTCAATCGGCAGCGACGTCTGCATAGACGAATCCCTTATACCATTCGGAGGGCGAATTTCCTTCAGGCAGTACATACCGTCCAAAAAGCATCGCTACGGTATTGAGCTGTTCAAAATATGTGGACGAGGCGGATACACAGCCAATGTGAAGTTATATGCAGGGACAGACCCCTCAAGAATGGGCACTGTTGCGGACTTAGCTGTCAAGGAGCACATGGAAGAATTCATGGATGAGGGACGTACTTTGTGTACGGATAACTTCTACACCAGCATTACACTGACTGCAAAACTTCTGAAAAGGCGCACGCACTTGATAGGTACCTTGCGAAAGAATAGAAAAGGAATTCCAAAGGCAATCAGGAAAAAAGACTAAAAAGGAGCGAAGTTTATTTCCAGCAAAATGAGCAAGGTATTCCCATTAATGGAAGGACAAACGTGAAATTTTGCGTGAAATATTGCTACTGACAACGAAGCATGATGGGAGCGTTAACTCCAATGGCAAAGGCATCTTTCATAGTCCACGACCGGTCGCGCGACCAGTCGCGCGACCGGTCGTGGTCTATGAACGATGCCAAACCCGCGGTCGTCGAAGACTGCAACGACCTCAAATGCTTTGTAGACGTCTCCGACCAACTCGCAGCATACACCCCTCTTTTGCGTAGAACTGCTAAATGGTGGGTAAGGATTTACTTCCATTTGATCGCACAATGTTGTCGTCGAAAAGGTAAAACTGAACGACTTCAAAATGGAATTAGTAGAAGCATTCCTTCAACGGACCTGAACCTCACACCTTCTACAAAACACCACCTGGAGGAAGTGCCTGGACCAAAAGCCTTCACAAGAAGGAGATGCGCGCACTGCTATGCACTCAGGCCTCCAAAAGAGGGGGGAGCTGGTGCACTCCGTTATACTAGAAGGGTAAATACGCGGTACAGCGAGTGCTAATCATTTTTCTGCGTAGAATGCTTCAATAGGTTTCACAGGAGTAGGAATTGGAAAGAAATTTGGAAAAAAATAGGAATTGATAGGAGTTATACGGGCTTCAGAATGTTTTAGCATTTAATAACAATTCACTTGAAGAAGAACCATTTTATTGGGTTGTAACATAAGTTCGTAGAGTTTTTTCACAAAGATTTATCTGAACCAAAAAACAATAATTATAATAATAAATTAACCAATGATGTATCCTCCGTTACTGTTCACGACCTCTTCCCATCTCTCGACCAATTTGTTGTTGGCGATTCGCCGAAAATCGGTCGTTGTGGTGTTGAAGAATTTGTTGAGCCAGTTTTTAAGGTCCCCTTCGCCATCGAAGGTAACACCCCTCATTGGGTTTAACATAGAGCGGAAAAGGTGATAGTCGGCAGGTGCAAGATCCGGAGAGTGCGGTGGATGCTGAGGAACCTCCCATTCAAGCTCTTGGGGTGTTGTTTTGACGACTTGAGCAATATGGGGCCTGGTGTTGTCGTGGAGCAAGATGACTTGACCACCTCTATAAGGTCTTTTCAGCCGAATAGCCTCATTTACTCTGTTCAGCTGGGTAATGTAGACGTCCTTGTTGACAGTGGCGTTTCGTTCGAGCAGTTTCCTAGTGCACCATGGCTACCCGGTCCCACCAAACGCAGATCATGACCATTTTTTGGGTGAAGATCTTGCTTGACTCTCGGCTGTGGCGCCTTCCCTGGGGCAACCCACACCTTTCAGTAGACACACCTAAGACACCTTTCCCGTACACACTGCATATGTCCCGAGCGGTTTCGGCTGCTTTTTTGACCTCCTCGACGAGAAGCATAGAAAAGCAGATGTCGAAAATGCTAAATTTTTCTTCCTGGATATTCCATTTCTGAGCCCGAAAAAAGTCGAACAATTTAATTATCCTAAAAACGAATAAAACAGTTTTGTAGAGGAGAAAGAGCTCTTTCAAATGAATGTATACACTTTGCTAAAAAACAAAATAACTCGTTGTAAAATAACTCTAACGCAAAACTCTACGAACTTATGTTACAACCCAATATAATCATTATTTTTCTTATAAATTTGTTGGTGGTTTTATTTTGAAACCACTCCGTTTGTTAATTCTAGAGCTAGAAGAGCCAACAATTCCGCTTCAGCTAAAGTCCTTCATTTCTTCGAATGCCTTCACTTAGTTCTGCATGTTGCTCAACCGACTCGAGGAAAATCTATTTTAGATTTAGTACTTTCTAACACACCAATCATCAAAAGTTCATACGTATGCCCGCCCTTCGCTGTATCTGACCATTGCGTTGTTTCTTTTGATGTCTCCGTTTCACTGAACGAACCAGAGCAGCTTCCCCTGCCTAATTTTATGAAAACGGATTACGTTGCCCTCTCACATTACTTAACTTGCATAGATTGGTGGGCAGCTTCCGAAGGGTATCAATCGGTTGACGACTTGTATAGAAGATTTTGCCGTATTCTATACACTGCTTTTGCCCAATTTCTACCTCTTGAACCCTTGAAAGATTCGAGTATACGGTACCCAAGACACATATACAATTTGATGAATCAAAAAGCTCGTCTCTTTCACACCTTACAGGAAGACCCTCTCTCTATTATCGTGTATAAACGAGTGTGTACTGAGCTTGATTACCAAAGATTCCTTGGCCAAAGAGAAAAACGAGCAATAACCAGTGCGAACAAGAAAGCAGTTTTCGCTCTTATGAAAAACAAATTGAAAACACGGCCGACAACACCGATTCTCAAAGATATTGCTGGCAATCTGTGCATTACTGATGCTCAGAAGGCTGCAGCACTTGCAAGCTTTTTTGCGTCCGTTTTTACAACGCCTATAGCTAGTTCTGCTGATACCACAGAGGTTGACCTTCCACTAGATTTTCGCTCCGATGTCACTATAGCTCCCTGGGAAGTATACAGAGTTCTAAAGTCGTTCAAAAGCTCTTTTTCATTGCCGTACGATGACATCCCTCAAATAGTATATAAAAGATGCGCCGCCGCCCTGTATAAACCCATTTGTATGATACTAAGTATCTCCTTAATGTTCGGAGAAGTCCCGGAGATCTGGAAAGAATCTATCATCACTGCTATTCCTAAGACTCCAAATGCTAAATTAGTCTCCTCTTTCCGCCCCATCAGTATCACTTCACCAGCAGCTAAGGTTTTTGAAAAACTTGTACGTGATAAACTTGCAACTCACTTTCGCAAAAACATGTTAGTACCTTTGGAGCAACATGGATTTGTGGAAGGCGCTTCTACTAGTACTCTGATGGTTGATTGCTTGTTTGACTGGAGCTTGGCTGTCAACAAAAGTCAAGGTGTTGTTGTAACATATTTTGACTTCTCAAAAGCCTTCGATAAAGTTAATATCAGTAAGCTTCTCATGAAAATAAGGCAAGCTGATGTCCCCGGAACAATGTTCAACTGGATTCAGTCATACTTAAGTGATAGACATATGTGTGTTAAAGTCGGAAACTCCTTTTCAGAACGTCATTCGTGTACGAGTGGTGTTCCCCAGGGCGGCGTACTGTCGCCTCTTCTATTCTTGGCGTACATGTACGACTTACCAAAATGTCTGATCACACATCCCTTGGTTAACGTGCGTATCTACGCAGATGACATCAAAGTGTATGGAGTATATGACCAAGACAGTAAGGGGATTATCCATCAGGCCCTAACCCAATCCATCATAAACACGATGGACTGGGCTATGGCCTGGGATATACCTGTGAGCCTCACGAAGACTATGGTTCTCCATCTCGGGAATGCTCACAGGATCCCATACACTTTCGGCGATACAACCCTGCTTGTTTCCGGAGACGTCAAAGATCTTGGGTTCCATGTCAGTTCAGATCTAGGTTTCGAGCACCACATCAATATTGTCGTGCAAAAAGCATTCAGGGTCCCTTTTACGATTTTCAGAAACATTCACAACAATAGCGTCTCACTATTTCTGAAACTCTATCGATGTTATGTTCTTCCGATTTTAGAGTATGGTTCACAAATCTGGAGCCCGCAAACTAGAAACCATAAAGCGAAAATTGAAAAAGTCCAGCGAACCTTTACGAAAGTATTGATGTACAACCCAAGTCCCGCGTACCCTGCTGGCATGCCTGATTACAGAGAACGCCTACAGCGGCTCAAGCTGAAGACGCTCCTCTATAGACGGGTATTTAACGACATCGTCTTCGGCTTCAAAGTGCTCCGGGGCGAACTGAAGCTCAAGCCGAGCAAGTATTGGACCTTCAGGCCTTGCCGGGGACGTACTAGAATGCTCTCCATAGCCTGTCCTAAACTAGCCAAGAAAAAATGCAACAAGGTCTGCTGGTCTTTTTTCTTTCGTAGTGCGAAGTGGCTTCAGCTGCTACCTGCTGAGATCCAAGAAGCTCAAAGCGTTGGTGTTTTCAAGAGGAAGTTGAGAGAAATTGATCTCTTGTTACTTCTTGGCATACCGGACTTTTGAGAATTTCGATAATTGTCAGCTTTTTTTTTTCCAGCAAACCCCTCCTTCCAGAAATGAACATCGATCGACTCAGTAAGAAGACAGTGATATGTGTGCCTTTCGGTGTCTTTTGGTTTCTGTTCTGTTTTGTTTTGTTTTGTTTTTGTTTTTCCTTACCTCACAGCTTCTGTAAAGTTGAGTTTACTGTTCTTTCCAATATTTTTGCCTTACGCGCTTGGTGAAGATCTTTAGACC